TATAGGATGAAGAACAGTTACAGGCAGGGCTTTTTTTGTCATAAAACGCACAGAACGGAGTTCCGGCACCTTTTTTTGATGGAACCTTGTAGGGTAGGCAAGGCGGGTTGTATGACGTATGTCAGTTCCGGCACTTTTTTTTTTTTTTTTACAAAAAAAGCACTGGTTACAGCAGGGGTGTCAAATTCAATTTCAGTGAGGGCTGCATCAGCACTGCAGTTGCCCTCGGGGGACCGGGTGGGTGTGGCCAGGGTGGGTGTGGCCTACTGGGTGGACGTAGATGGAGTGGGTGTGGCCAGCTCTACATCGTTTGCGTCTAGGGTGCCTGTGGGGGCCTGGGCAGGAGTGGGAGAGATCTGAGGGTCTCTGGCGAAGGGGGTGGGACCGGGGCAAGTGCCAAGGCATGGTCCACTGGAGGAGCTTCACTGTTCCTCTCAGGCCATGCCCGACGCCATGCGGTTTCAGCAGGCAGCGGGGCACTCTCCTCACAGCACCAAGAGGCTGAACCAGGCGGCATGAATCCAAAAAGAAGTGCGATGACGCCCAGCCCCCAGCCTGCCTGGTTTCAGCAGGCAGCGTGGCGCTCTCCTCACAGCACCGAGAAATTGAGCCGGGCGGTGCAAAGCTCACCAGCTTTGCACCTTGCTGCCTGCTGAAACTGGGCAGGCTGGGGGCTAGGTAGCATTGCATTTCTCATCAGTTTTGTGCCACCTGGCTCAGCTCTTGGTGCTGTGAGGAGAACGCCCCGCTGCCTGGTGACACCTCCCTAGCATGCACCCAGAGGGCGGGGCTAACAGGCAGGGGCTGTTTCCTCGCTGTTTCCAGACGGCCTTGTGGAGCTAAGACTGAATTCGTTTCAGCATAGATGGCCACCTCAAAATTGTACATTGGCTCCTGGCCAGCCTGGGCCAGGGCCAAAGCAGCGGGGGCCGTTCCCTCACTCTTTCCAGGATGGCTTTGCGGGACACATGAAACCACTTCGCGGGCTGCATCCGGCCCCCGGGCCTTGTGTTTGACATATCTGGGTTACAGCAGTGGTTCTCAACCTGTGGGTCGGGACCCCATTTGGGGTCGAACGACCATTTCACGGGGGTCGCCAAACAACACAGTCCGTCATTTTTTCCCCTTTTTCCTTAGCTGTGCTACTCCCTTTTATTCTATTGGCTTTTGAAAGCCAATAGAATAGACTCTCTTGAATAGAGTCTAATTCTATTGGCTTTCAAAAGCCAATAGGAATTGTCCAGGCTGTCTCTGCCCTGCTGAGCCCGCCAAAAGTCCCATTCTGCAAACGGTGCTGCACCAGTTGAGTAGTCCTCGACTTACGACCGGTTGAGTAGTCCTCGACTTATGACCGGTTGGGGGTCGCGGCATTAAAAAGATTGAGAACCACTGGGTTACAGGATCTGAGTATGCTTAACTTGCAGAAGAGAAAAGCTCCCTGCAAGGTGTAGAAGGCATAGGGAAGGGCTATAGAGACGGGAAGAAGAGCAGCTAAGAAGACAATGATTAGATAAGAGAGACTTGAGCCTAGTTCAAGAAAATAATGCAGAACATTTCTCAGACCAGCCCCCTCCCTAGTTCACACAAAGATAAAGCGAGGAAGGGGGGGCGCATTCCAACTTGCAAGATTTTGTCTCTGTAGCTGTTATAATAAAAGTAACCCTTCTCCCTCTGGCACTGGTTTCTTAGTCTGGTCTACCTTGTTGGGGTAACAGAAATAGTTATGAAGAGCTGTCATAAGGAGAAGGGGAGGGTATTGGCTTCTGTCACTATGAAAAGCAACACCGGAACCCAGGAGCTGAAACTGCTGGGAACAGATTCAGATGAGATATTAAGAGGAATTTCTTGAGATCAGAGTTGTCAATCCATCAGTGCAAAAGGACAGAGGTCCCCAACCTTTTGGGCACCCAGGGACCAGTTCCGTGGAGAGAGGTTCTTCCACGGACCGGACCGTGCGTGGTTTTGTGTGCTGCTTGCATCCTGCGGATGGGGCTTTCCTTGTTTGTGCGAACCGGTTGCTGGCATGCCGCAGCCCGGTACTGATCCACGGACCGGGGGTTGGGGACCCCTGTAATAGGAGGCCTCATGAAAAAGGTTCACTAACCAGAGATCTTTTTGTTGGGTCTTTTAAACAGAAAATATAGTAAAGAAATATGGTACTTAATTTTACATATAATAACGGCGGCAAGAATAGCATATGCACAGTGCTGGAAAAATGAGAATATACCATCAGAGGAAGAAGTGATAAGAAAAATCCTGGACTGTGCTGAGATGGATAAATTAACAAAAGAGATAAAAGAAAAAGAAGACACAGAGTACTATATAACAGGAAACAAGTGGTATGACTGGTTGGAGACTAGAAATAATAGAGGAGAATAAATATGGAAAGGTCGAAAGTGAAAATATGTGTATAAGAATGTATAATAATAATAATAATATGAATTATTCTTATTAAGAAATAGAATATGAAGGAAGGAAAATGTAAATAAGAAACAACGGGGCAATAAGGACAAATATTCTAAAGAAGAATAAGGGGAGAAATGTAAATAATAAAAGATTACTGTTACGTAATTGCTGTTAAAAGGGGAGGGGGAGAAGTATATACTGTGTGTGTGTGTGTTATGTTTTGCTTTTTTTTGTTTTGTTTTATTTGTTAAAAATAATAAAAAAAAATTAAAAAAAGAAAAAGGTTCACTAGATGTCTTCAAAGGAAGGTTGGGTAAACATCTTCCCAAACTGCTAATTCCCACACTGAGCAGAGAATTAGACTTGCTTGGCCCCCTTCCAAATCTATCTTTCTATGATTCTTTTTTTATTTATTAGTTTATAGTATATAATACAAAAATGCAAAAGAAAATAATAGGAAAATAGGGGAGAAAAAAGGGAAGGGAAAATGTAGAAAAGAGGGGAAAAAGAAAGGAAAGGTGTTGACTTCAACTCCCCTTGGTGCAGTAGAATAAGATAATAACACCAAACATCCAACTTTTATTTTTACATAATAATATAAACTAGCCATTTCTATGACAACAATCAGTAAAACCCAAAGTCAAAGTTTCATTTTTTTCTCACCTCAAGCACAAAGTCCAGAAGTGGTTTCCAAGCAGAAACAAAAGTAACTGTGTTTTTTTTCTTTGATCAAAGGAGTCAATTTAGCCCTCTCTGCTAATTCCATCACCTTTTGCAACCATTCCTCCATTGGAGGAATCAAAATGTCCTTCCATTTTTATGCATAAAGTAAACTTTCTGCCATCAGCATATAACATCAAAGTTCCAATTTTTTCCCCCAAGTCTTTTTCCATTAAACCCAGAAGAAAAGTTTCTGCTTTTATCTTTATATTCCCTTTAAGAATCTTCTGTATTAAGAATCCTACTCCAATATTTCTTTGCTTATGTTTCCAGGATTCTACACATACCCCACGCTTACAAATCACAGAATTTTAGTTGCGATTGTACAGTAAAAAAAAGTGTGGTTATTGCTAGGATACTTATATAAGAAGTTTACAAGATTAGTTTGGAGTTTTTCTAATATGGAGATGTATAACCATTGTAAAATATATAAATAACGACGTGGAAAAATTCCATGTTTTATAATAAGACGTAGTCCTTGATTTATGATCACAACTGAGCCCAAAATGTTTGTGGCTAAATGAAATATTTGTTAAGTGAATTTTGACCCATGTTATGACTTTTCATGCCACAGTTGTTAAATAAATCACTGCAGCTGATAAGCTAGTACTTAAGTGAATCTGGCTTCCCCACTGACTTTGCTTCTCAGAAAGTCACAAAAGGGGATCACATGACTCTGAGACACTGCATCTGTCATAAATGTGAGTCAGTTGCCAAGCCTCTGAATTTTGATCATGTGACCATGGGCAGGGGTAGGGAACCTTGGTTCTTTTATGACTCGTGGACTTCAACTCCCAGAATTCCTCAGCCAGCATGGCTCAGCTTGGAAACCTTTCCCTTTCCCCTCAGCATGGCTGGCTCAGGAATTCTGGGAGTTGAAGTCCACGAGTCATAAAAGAGCCAAGGTTGCCTACCCCTGGACTAGGCCTAGGCCACTTTCTGACTTGTGGACTTCAACTCCCAGAATTCCTGAGCCAGCGTGGCTCAGCATGGAAATCTCTCCCTTTCCCCTCAGCATGGCTGGCTCAGGAATTCTGGGAGTTGAAGTCCACGAGTCATAAAAGAGCCAAGAGTATAGACCACGAGTCATAAAAGAGCCAAGATTTTTAAACATTTCTTTTCTTATATTTCTTCACTGATTGATTGTTTTCCCTGGTCTATACTTTACTTAACATAAAGTATATACCCCTGGTCTATACTTTACTTAACATATACTTTACTTAACATTTCTGATCAACAGAAATGCACCTGATCAAAGTTTTGCTCAATATATGCAGGGATTATTCATCAGTTTCATGAGGTTTTACCTGTGAAATCTAAGTAGGGGTCTATACCAATGGTAGGCAACCTTGGCTCTTTTATGACTTGTGGACTTCAACTCCCAGAATTCCTGAGTGAGCATGGCTGGTTCAGGACTTCTGGGTGTTGAAGTTCACGAGTCATAAAAGAGCCAAGGTTGCCTCCCCTGGTCTATACATTAACTTTGTAAGTAAGCAAGCAAGCAAGGAAATAATTAAATAGAATCATCATCATTATTATGCAGCCAGTTTGGTGTAATGGTTAAAGCACCATGCTAGAAACAAGGAGACCATGTCTTACTTTAGGCAGAAAGTTGGCTTGATGACCATGTGCCAGTTCTTCTCTCTCTCAGCAATGGCAAACCGCTTCTGATATCTTCCACATTGTGTGTGTGTGTGTATTGACTCATTCCCAATTTCTAGACCAGGGGTCTTCAAACTTGGCCCTTTTATGACTTGTGGACTTCAACTCCCAGAATTCCTCAGCCAGCATGCCTGGCTGAGGAATTCTGGGAGTTGAAATCCACAAGTCATAAAAGGGCCAAATTTGAAGACCCCTGGTCTAGACCCATAGACTGAAGGATTGTTAAAGATTCATAAATTAAGACACCACAGTAAACAGAAGAAACAGTGATAGCTCCATGCCTGGTTTGAAGATTCTCCAAAATCCAGCAAATGGCCATCATCTTAAGAGGTGATTTCTTCAGATTCTTTCCAGCATCTGCAAGTATTTTAGAGTAGAGCAATGTAAGTGGCAATTATCCCCCAGTTTCTCAATGTATGTACAAAAGGACCGAGAAAAGTCTACCTGGATTGGGGATTTCAGCCAGGAAAAGTACCCGTGTGAGCAATTAAATATTTGCTACAGAAGCATCTAAAGGCAATTGATGTTTTAAGTCAAATCCAACAATAGTGCTCTTTGGTTTTTCCATTGCTTAACTGACAAAATATTCAGACTTGAGAAGTGCTTAAGGGGAAATAAGAGATTAAAAAACTCAGTTTTCTTCCAGGTCATTCTTGGGCCAGACACCACAACTATACTAAATATACATTTTTAAGAAATGTTGTATTCATTTAGTACTACCTAGCAGTAAGTAATATAAGCAAATCATGTACTTATAACTAGGGCAGTAGAAAAAAATGTAAATGTAAATTTTCAACACTTTTTACTGCCTTTTTAAATGAATTGTTTTAAGGGAAAAATGTAATGAGAAAAAGCTGTTGAAAACTATTTTTAATAATCTTCCCGAGGATTATAAGGCAAACTAAATTGGGGGCATGATAGCAAGGGGTAGAAAATTCCAAAATGCTTTTGTGCTTTAAGCATATGCTTCTTATGCTTAATGGTTAATCCAGGACTGGCTGCTGTGTTATGTTCATCATGCAGAGTTTCTCTCATTTTCTTGAAAACAATCAATCAGTGAAGAAATATAAGAAAAGAAATGTTTAAAAATCTAACCATATACACTACCGTGCTCACTTGAAACGCAACATTGCAGAGAATTGAGAAAGAAGAATATTCTGCTTTTGTTCAATGACAACTAGCAAAGATTGTGTCTTTCAAAACAAAAGAAGCAAAGCACTGGCTGGAGGCATGGTCATCAAATTTCCCCATCATTTTTTAAAATTCAGAATTTGCTAGAATGTGTGTGTGTGTGTGTGTGTGTGTGTGTGTGTGTGTGTGTCTGTGCAGCTTTGTCTATTTTTTAAATTAATACTCTTGAGTTATGCACAGAATGACCGTTCTTAAATTTCTGTCAAAGATAATTCACAATAGCAATAGCATTTAGACTTATATATACCGCTTCACAGTGCTTTACAGCCCTCTCTAAGCAGTTTACTGAGTCAGCATATTGCCTCCCCAACAATCTGGGTCCTCATTTTACAGACCTTGGAAGGATGGAAGGCTGAGTCAACCTTGAGTCGGTCAGAATCGAACTGCTGGCAGCCGGCAGTCAGCAGAAGTAGTCTGCATTCTAACCATTGCACCACCACAGCTCTTGTTCTGACTCAGTTGCACAACTGAAATAATTATTCAATGCATACATCGAAATTGTAGAGACAAATCCAAATAAATATTTGCACTGAGTTATAAGTTGGGCTGTTTGAATTATTGGAGGGGAAAACCCTTCTACTTTTCAAGTCTGAATTATACGTTCATTCAATTATTAATTCTGTGCAATTGAGGAAGGAATGTTCCTCAAGAACTCAAAAACTCTTATACATTTTTATAAGTTGATATTTAATACTCTTGCTTTTAAGCTACTCCATACAACTGATGGTTTCAGCTGTTGTAAGCTGACAAGTGACACTGGAGAATAAATTTAGATTTTGATAAAGTCTTAAAGAAATGAGCTTAGTTTCTATTTGCTTCACTCCCTCCCACTGTTATGTCTTGCTTTCCCCCAAGAAATCAAGACAGAATTTTTATCTTCCCAACAGCCCTGTGAGGTAGGCTAAGCTCAGAAACTGACTGCCCAACAATCATCACTGAACTGAGTATAGTTTTGAACATAGATCTTCTTTTGTGTCTTTTGCTATTTTCTGCTTGAAGGAGTGGTGGTGGAAGAAATCTCCCCACCTGTTTAAAATGTTCCGTTTTAAAGTTTGCAAGCTGCCCTCCATAGTCAGTTTTCTCTGGAGCTCCTTACTACAGATTCACTAAATAAAACCCTTTGTTTTAAAATTAAAAGAATGAAAATAACGGTAACTAAAACATAGGCTAGTAAGATGACAGAAGAACGAAAAAGGACATCCAGAATGGGTCCAAACATTGATAAGCAGCACACACCTTTAAATCAAGTGGTTTAATTACAGTACTGCCTGAATTGATTAAAATGCCTGGACAGCCATTTGTCCGAAATGGTGTAGGGTTTCCTGCCTGAGCAGGGGGTTGGACTAGATGACCTCCAAGGTCCCTTCCAACTTTACTACTATTACTAGAATAAAATGCCTTGGTCTGAGGCCAAAAAGCCACACAAATCAATGTCAAAGAGAGGCGATTTCCAAAGTACCACTGGGAAAAAAATACTGCATGCAGTGTCCATATATAGATACGCATAGTATATGTTCAGTGTAGTGGTTAAGATGCTGAACTGGCTCTGGAGAGATTCAGCATCCAGTCCAGCCTCAGCCATAGAAAATCCATGGAGGACTTTGAGACAATTAGTCTCTCTCAGGCAGGCCAATGAACCTCATAGGGCTGTTGTGGTGGAAAATGGGAGCTCTGGATGCCTAAACAAAAGATGGGCTGTAAGGAATTGAAATCTGAAGGCCTGGGAAAGGGGGAAAAATAATAGCTTAACACAGGGGTCCCCAACCTTGGCTACTTTACGACTTGTGGGCTTCAACTCCCAGAATTCCTGAGCCAGCATGGCTCAGCTTGGAAACCTCTCCCTTTCCCCTCAGCATGGCTGGCTCAGGAATTCTGGGAGTTGAAGTCCACGAGTCATAAAAGAGGCAAGGTTGCCTACCTCTGGCCTAGGCCTAGGCCGCTTTATGACTCGTGGACTTCAACTCCCAGAATTCCTGAGCCAGCATGGCTCAGCTTGGAAACTTCTCCCTTTCTCCTCAGCATGGCTGGCTCAGGAATTCTGGGAGTTGAAGTCCACAAGTCATAAAGTAGCCAAGGTTGGGGACCCCTGGCATAACAGAATAACAAAGCTGGAAGGGACCTTGGAGATCTTCTAGTCCAACCCTCTGCTCAAGCAGGAAACTCTGTACCCGTTGCAGACAAAAACCTCCAGTGTTGGACACTGACAACTTCTGGAGGCAAGTTGTTCCATTGGTTAATTGTTCTGTCAGGAAGTTTCTCCTTAGTTCTAGGTTGCTTCTCTCCTTGATCAGTTTCCACCCATTGCTTCTTGTCCTGCCTTCGGGTGCTTTGGAGAACAGGTTGACACCCGCCCCCCTCTTCTTTGTGGCAGCCCCTTAAATGAACTAAACAAGGCCCAGTAGGGAATTCCCATAACTGAGCCTGTTTTAAGCATACTGACTTTGGTTGATCTGGAAAAACTAAACAGCGTCAAACCTCTTTGAATTTGGAAGGGAGGCCAGCAAGACAATGCAAACTCTACAGATTAGACTGAAGGTTAAAAAAAAAAAAAAAAAAACACTATCCTAGATAAGACAATGGCAAATCTTGTCTTCAAGTTATTGTCACAAAAACAACAAGGGACATCTCCATGTAGTCACGCTTGACTCAAGATCCAGAGGCCACCCCTGATGTATCAAAGGGGCTTTGAAGACCTAGCTGCTTCTTCTGAGGGAGACCAAAGCCCCCTTGGGTTCTTTCTCTCCCCCATTCCAGTCTGGTTCTGCTCCCTTGATAACTTTTATTTCCTATTTTTGATTGATTATTGTGAACCACACAGAGTCCTTGGGAATCAGGCAGCCTACAAACGTGTAAATAAATAAATGGAATAAAATAGATAAATAAAATAAACAAAAGAGGATGGTGTTCTATAAAAATGACTAGTCCTATTTTCCGATTTATTTTTTTATTTTTTGCCTAAAAATGCCGTTGTCTTCTCTTCCAATCTTTGAGATTCTGGAAAAGCTATGTACTGAATTAATGGAATTCTGTTCTGACTCAGGCTGACATGTTCTACAGACTTTTCATGCATCTCTCTCCCCCCCCCCCCCAAGTTGAGGCACAATATCGGATACCAGCCAATTTCAGCTATTTTTAAAACTACTTAAGAGATATATAATCTGCTTTCTTATCACATATTATGAGTGATTTATAGCTAGGGCAGACATGTCAAACACAAGGGGGCCAGATGTGGCCCGCGAAGTGGTTTCATGTGGCCCGCGAAGCCATCCTGGAAACAGTGAGGGAACGGCCCCCTCTGCCTTGGCCCTGGCCCAGGCCAGCCAGGAGCCAATGTACAATTTTGTGGTGGCTCTCTATGCTGAAACGCATTCAGTCTTAGCTCCATAAGCCCCCCTCCCCCCGCATGGCCTGAGAGGAACAGTGAGGCTCCTCCAGTGGACCATGCCTTGGCCCTTGCCCTGGTCCCACCCCGTTCTGCCAGAGACCCTCAGATCTGTCCCACTCCTGTCCAGGCCCCCACAGGCACCCTTGACACGAACGATGTAGAGCTGGCCACATCCACCCAGTAGGCCACACTCACCCTGGCCACACCCACCCAGCCCCCCGAGGGCAACCACAATGCTGATGCAGCCCTCAATGAAATTTGAGTTTGACACCCCTGAGCTAGGGCTACAATACAGCCTCCTGAACCTCTGGAGCAGTGGTTCTCAATCTTTTTAATGCCGCGACCCCCAATCGGTCGTAAGTCGAGGACTAAACCAGTTGTAAGTCAAGGACTAAACAGGTCATAAGTCGAGGACTACCCAACCAGTCGTAAGTCGAGGACTTTCCCTGTCTGGGAGCACCGCGCATGCGTGGTGCCGCCAAGGTGTAGCTGGCAAGTGGCAGAGACGGAGCAGGCCGACCACCGGTTGGGCCACCAGCTGGCCCAGCCCAAGGGAGGTAAAGCACCTGCCGGAAAAGGGGAAAAAAATGGCATACAGCCTTGCTTGGCGACCCCCGTGAAAATGGTCGATCGACCCCAAATGGGGTCGCGGCCCATAGGTTGAGAACCGCTGCTTTGGAGGGTCTCTGGTGTTGCATGGCATCATCCGAAGAGACATGGCTAAAACTTTAATTTCATTTTCTGGAGCAAATTTAAGGGGAGGGGAGAGGAACAATCATGT